ATATATATATATATATATATATATATATATATATATGTGAACAGTCAGGTAAACAACAATAGTCAGTTATCTCAATGTAAGTTCATGCCTTTGCATTAATCTCCTCTCTCCTGTTTCGCAAATGCATTCTACTATGCCCTCCCAAATATTTAACACAGTTTCACATTCAGAATTATCTTAACTGCGTTATCAAACATCTCTAAAAAGTATTCATATTGCCACATCCTTAAACCCCTCCATGCATCCAGTGTCATTGTCCTCTATCCTTTCATAGACTATCACAACTTCAAATCTGAAATGAACCTTTTCTAATATTTCTTCCACCCAATTCCCTTCTTTCCATTCCTCATATCTTAACGTTATATGTTTCTCCAATTACGTATTTTTTCTCCAGGGAACTGCTTTATGTATGGAATATCTTTTCACCAGTGTTAATTTCAACCATATACCAAGGTCTCATGCTATAATTCTGAAGTAGATCATTAGTAGATAAAGATTTATACAAGATGTATACACCAGTAAGGTTGCTTAGTACCACATTATACAACTAACCATTTAAATTTAAAACCTACCTGGGAGTTTCACTTTGCATTACTTGGCTAGCTTGATACAATTGCTCAGGCACACTTAAGTAGCTTGTGGATTCCACTAATATGACCCTAAAATAAAGCACACATTCTTAATTAAGATATTATTTATAGCATGAGAACTCTAATTTTTTTGAAAATGTTCCACAAAATAGTAAAAAGAGGGATTGCCTTTTCATACTGAAAAACATTCAACTAAATTAAAACGTATTTTCACTTTTTTGTAAAACAAATTACAAATCAAATTCACAGTAATTCTAAAAAAAAACTTTACAAAACTTGTTGTGCTTAATTTTTGTGTTATTTTGTGATATCTATGATCTTGCATATTGGTATATCATTTAGTTTTTGTTCAATTGAACCATCCACTGTTTTTGTCCAAAATATTTGAGAATCCAATTAATTCATAAATTAATTAATGTATGAATCAATCAAAATATAGAAAAAATATCTTCACACTCAAAACAGTTTCTCTCTTTCTTTTCCTGGGAGACTCTTGCCTAACCTGTTTTACATTGTGGATATGTATACAAGGCACGATGTAACGTTATGCAGCAATATTTAACCTAGCTCTGAGAAGCAGGTTATATTACACAACATAGAGCTACTCAAGGTAGCTCAGGTAGCAGATGCTGTACAATTATATAAGGACAGTGCTCTACCTGGCATACGTCAAATAGACTCTGTGTTTTATTTCTAATCTACTTCCATTTTGGTTTCTGCAATGTTCAAAATTTATCTCTTTGAAATAGGAAAAAATAGGAGAAAAATCATTAACCAAGAGCTATCATTTCAATGCTGTTATTACAGATTTTCTGTTAGATAGATTCCAGCCAGTATGGAACAATCAAATACATAAATTATAATGAACAACCCACAACCAGAAGTCATTCAGCCTCTACCATACTTCTGCTTTCTCTAACTCATATTAGGATAGCAGTGACAGAAAGGAGATAATATAGTGCACAATAAAAAAATAGTCACTTGATGTAAACTTGCATAGCTCCAGTTAACGATTTGAATTTAAAATCTTTTATGAAGATATACTTCCATCAGCAGAGGTCTGGCCCACAATGTTTACCATGAAAGTGTCAATCTTAATACAAGTTATTGTATTATGATATTCATGAACAGGGACTATTTCCCTGTACTTGTGCTAGGAAACAGCTGTGGTATTTTAGACAGCAACGTTTGATAATGACTGAATAGAAAAGATTTATTTTTTTAACCCAAATGCAAGTATTCAATCAAATACAAGTGTTACATTTGTAGAAACTAAGTTCAAGTATTCAGCAACCATACACTAGAATGTAACAAAGAGTTGGCTTATGTGTAAGTACAGATTTTTTTTTAAAGAAGAAACAATGCTATTTCTAATTAACAAGGAATGCCAGCAAACTATGGGTCAGTAAGCAAAATGTATGTAAATATTTGTTGTGGTTTTACACACATAACACAAAGGTTTGAAAAGCCTTGAATTTTCAATGTCCTGTTTGATAGTGACCACTCTGCATAGTGGAGCATTTGAGAGCGGAGCAGTCATGGTGGTAATATACCTCCAGAAACATGGTTTGAGCTGTGCCCTGGACTCATGCCAAAAACTATCTCCAGTTCCAGGTATATTTTTTTTTCATGTTTCATATAATTAAACCAATCCGCAGATGGAAGACTACATATTGTTCAGAAGATTGGTAATGTGATGTGTAGAATCTTTCAACAGTGTCTCACTAATTCAAATGAAGTCTTAATTATTAGTTAAGGTGGTCATTCAAAAGCTGTTGAATTGTCTATGCAAAATAAGATTAGTTGGTCGCCTTCATTTGCTTTCTAAGGGACAAAGATACACATCATGAAAGCAACTACTGATAGTCTCAAGGACCAAATAAGTACAACAACAAAACAAGTTCATATGATCGCATCAAGTCAGAGCATTTTACAGGCCCAGTGAAAACAACATACGACCTCTTGTTCATGCCAAACCTATTCTATGGATAAAAGGCGACTTCTGTTCTCAGGGCTGTCACTTTAGCATCTTTGACATGAACTAAATTTACCTCAAAAAGTAAAAAAAAATCCAAAACTGTAATGTATTACCAAAAGTGACTAGTAGTATCCGAGACAAAAATGAAAAAACACAAAACTGCCATAGGACATTTATCATCCACCAACATTAATATTCCATTTTTCAGGGATTTTATGGCACATATCAGGTCATATATTAGATTATAAAAATCTGGCAACACACCAACACATGTTTAAGAAAAGTCAGAAATAAAGTGGTGCTTGTTGTATACTCTTAAGTATAGACCAGTATGGGGCTCTAGTAAATACAAAACTTGGAGTCATATTATGTAGCACTGAAGCAGTGTAGGATTATGTAGCTTTAAAGCATAACATTCTGTCTTTCTCAAAGTAGGAGAAATGTTTATAATCCTAGAGATGTTCCATATAAGGGTGAAAGCAGAGGAAAAAATCAGATTAATTGATGGTGATGTCTGGCCCTAGGCAAGAGTGTATTTTCTCTTTTACATGAATATTTCAGTTTAATAATTTAACCAGCAGGGTAAAGCAGATTGAAGAAAAAATCCTATTAATTAACATAGTTTGTTTCTCTTTTGAATTCTGTTGGACCTCAGCCAAACACAAAAATACAAGTAAGGTTCATGAACTCCATTTGATTAAAGCTGTGGCTTTATTGCTTACACCAAGATGGTTTTCAATTAAGGTTTATTTATCTTCTTTATTCATTATGATAGTCACCACTTCATAGTGCTCATAACAATTTTGGAAATGTAAATCCCTATAATTTAACCTCAAGGTTTTACATTTTCAAACAGGAGGAAAAATTATAGGAAAATGCAAGATAAAACAACATGATTGTTAAAAAAAAATTGTTCTTTACAACACTGCCTACCTGAATATGCCATTAGTTCTGAAGGGATTAGTAATAGTCAGGCTGACTTTCTTCAGCTCATAACATGGGGATTTGCATTTGAATACACCCTGGAATAGAACAAAACTTACATCAGTGCTGAAAAAAATTAGGAAAGCTATGTTCATATTTAATAAAAAAAAAAATAGCAGAGAGTCCAACAGAGTAATGTAATTCCCTCCCAGTACCCTGGTATCTACAGCACCAGTATAATTAATACATAGGGGTTTGCTGCCAATAGATAATCAAGATTTGGGACTCCATTTTTTCATGCTCCATCACCATACCTTCTTTTCAAGAGTTCTTACATTAGGAGTACGGACAAGAGAACAAGAATTAATTTATTTTTACTTCTTTTTTCATACTTTTTCCTACCTTAACCATTCACTCTGCCAACAATGTCTTTCATACGTTTCAGGTACGAAATACCCTTCCTGAACCCATCCTCAAAGGTATACCCTCCCTTCCTTTAAATCCCTTCTCAAATATCGCTTCTACCATGATACGTACCAAAGCCAGCCAAATTATGATAAGTACTTTGGGATATAATGAAACAAGTGCACGCCTTCAGCCACATCTTTCCTATGATCCTCTGTTCTTTGTACAGCGCTTGTTGCCTTGGGTTCTAAACCTCCGCAGATGTACATATATTCTTACTTGACAGAAGAATGTGAGACTACTCACTGGCCACGTCTACACGAGATGCCACATCATTTAGTATTTGTATAAACTGACGCTATATAAACAAGTACTCAGTGACTACACAGTAACTGGAATTACTGAGCAGTAGCATCACCGAATGGCTTTTAGTTAACACAGACTGCACAGTAGCTCCTCACTACTACACAGTAGCATCACATCACGCTTCCTGTCACACAACGCTACTGTGCAGTAATAAGCTACTGTGCAATCAGCGTCTCATGTAGATGCAGCCACTGTATGCCATAAAGTTAAGCACATGTATAGGCTCATGGCATAAGACTGTAAGAAATGTGGCAGTGCCTAGATTTTCTCATGCATCTATTAGGCAAATGAAGCCCTGGAACAACTGGTGCTAATGCAATACAAAAAAAACCCAACAAATAAAGCTGCTTTATTAAGTGATACTTAAGCTACTTGAAAATGGACATATCTGTACTGCATCAAATTAAAAACAAAAACCCACTTGACAACTGGTACAAGGTACTGTTGCAAAGATTCTTGGGGCACTTCTACACGTGCTATTAATGTGCAATAAGCTTACTGTGCAGTAAAATAAGGCACAATAAGCTTTCCCTGGGAGCACACATGTCTGCTTCCAATGGGAGCAGTTCAGTGCAGGACTACTCCTGCCCTGCTCTACCCCCTACAGCAGCCAGGGGGAGTTCCAGACTCCCCCAGATGCCAGCTTCCCTGCTGGCAGGGGGCACAGGATCAGGCCTGGGGTCCAGGAGTGGAGGGAGCCATCCCACCTCTGGGATAGCTGCCTTCCAGCCCTGCACCCCAATCAACAGATTGGGGCATGGGGATGGGAAACTGTCCTCTCCCCTGAGCAGCTGCTTCCCAACCCTGTGCCCCGACTGGCCAATCACAGTGCAGGGCTGGGAAGCAGCTGCCTGGGGGAGAAGACAGTTTCCCCAACCCCACAATGCCTGGGTGGACTGGGAACAATTAGACTAATTTACTGCTCAGTAAATGCTGTGCATGTGTAGACAGTAACACTTTAATGTGCAACAGATTAGTCTATTGCGCAGTAAAACTTCTTGTATGGACACACCCTTGCAGTACTTAAGCCTAACAGATTTTGACTGAACAGGAGTACAATCCTTTCATACACCAGGTGCAATAATACAAACTGAGGGTACACCTGCAGTCATCTCTTGGCTTCAGAGAAATAGATTTTATTTGCCACACCATTGATATCTTTCCCAACCAAAGACAGGCATGTAAAACATACATTAAATGTTTTCAAAGATGACAACTTAAAGCAAGAAGAATCAACTTAAAGCTTTACTACAGTCTAACTGATCTCTTCAATTAAGTGATCACCTAATAATGCTCAGATACTAAACAATTTTACAGTAACATCTTGGTTCCTTTTTTTTTTTTACTCTTAATCAAACTAATTTACATTGCACTTATTGGTTAACATGACTATGTTGATTTAAGATATTATTTCTCTATAATTTCTAGTCTTAGGTATACTAGGTTTCAATATGTTACAGCCACTTGGACATGCAATATAGTTTCTTAACCTTGATCTTTTGCATTTTTTTCCTTTATTCTGAAAAATTTTATCTTTTTCTCCACTCCTAAAAAAAAAAAAAAAACTGCTTAAGTACTTTCTCTCACCATTTCCAAAACAACCAATTGTTTAGGAAAAACCAAACCTTTGAGTATTTGAGCCCCCAAGATAGAAAGTTTCAGATAGAAGAATATGGCAAAGAAGCAAAATAAAAAATACACAACTTTAGCTATAATAGTCAATGCCTTTCCTTATATAGATGTATACTTAAAACTGGTCATGTCCTGAAATGAAAGGGTAAGTTAAAGCTTACACCTGACCCAGTTAGTCAGACAGATGGGCATGAACACCATGTGCTGCCAGAGGCTGGGGGGGGGCATGGCAAGCTCCCACAGGTGGTGATGCTGTCAGCGGTGGGAGCATGGCGGCAGTGAGCGGGGAGCTCCCACAGGCAGCCACGGTGCTGTCAGCGGTGGGGGGCGGGAGTGGCAAGCACCAACCAGCGGCTGGCGACCACCCGCAGATACCACTGGCAGTGGTGGCCAGTGGCGATCAGGGACCACCCACAGATGCCACTGGCAGTGTCAATGGCAAGGGGAGGGAGGGGTGGTGAGCGGCAACCATCCACAGGTGCCACCATCACTGTCAGCGGCACTTTTTGCAGGGGGTGTATATGTACCTGCGTGCACCCCCTAAACGTTGCCAATGCAGATGGGTGTATTATGTTTAATAAAAGATGTGATATGGATTATAAGTTGTAAAAGAGCTAAACCACCTGTGTTAGTTTTAGAACATTCCCAGGACACTCTTTTTCTATTATTCATCTACTTGATCAGATTAAAATCATTTAATATTTTTTAAAGACATTCTAGAATGATAAATGCAAGTTACAGAATTCTAAGTTATACGTGCTAGATCAGGGGCAAGCAATTATTTTGGGCAGAGGGCCACTTACTGAGTTTTGACAAGCCATCAAGGGTCGCATGACAGGCAGCCCAGGGCAGATAAATACTAATTTTCTAAATTTTTTTAGGGGCCCCACGGGCCAGAGGCCTGGTGGGCTGCATCCAGCCCCTGTGCCGTATTTTGCCCACCCCTGTGCTAGTTACTACACATCTGGGTTTTACCTGAGACTGTTTCATAAAAAGTTCTCAGCAAGGAACAGGTCCACCTCAAAAGTGTCAATTTAAAATAACTGTAAAAAATAACACAGCTTATCGATGGACTGAACACCAAGAGTAAAGTTTTCAAACACATCTGCAGAGTCAAAGGAGTGCCCTTCCAATTTTAAAAATGGCCAATTAATTTTTGAAAAAGGGTATTTGATGCCTCAGAATTTTCAAAAGAATTAATAGGAGTTAATGGCCTAGGTGTTTTCACAATTACTATGCACTTCTTGTTTTTTAGCACCTAAATACCTTTAAAAGTCTGATCCTTAAAGCTATAAGTCTAACCAAAAGTTATCAGCAGGATTGCTTCTAAGTGTTATGTCACTTCTGACAATGGAACTTAGAGGGTTTGAAAATGTTACTCTAAAACCTTGCTTGTTCTGAAGATATTTCATATCCTAAAACTGTTCTGAGTGAATTATACTTTCATATTTTAAAAGGAACATACACTGTACTGTACTTACAGCAGGTTCAATATGGTTCACTTTCGACTTCAAAGAGAAAGTTATTGTTGCTCCTCCTATTTCACTTACAGTCTTCGAAACTAGCAACAGCATTGCTTCAGCAGCATGTAGAAAGCGACTAGTGAATTCAATGTTTATACTTATTTGGCTCCTATTTAAAACAATATGGAAAATAGCTTTATTATAATTAACCAAACTAGTTGGTTAAAAATTGCTTTTAAGGAAACTTGACAGGGGTGGTCATTACAGTATCAGGAAACCATTTTAAGACAGTGTGAAGAGGCAGAAATAGACAAAAAGAGACCTACCTTTGAATGGGCCATGCTGCAAAGTACATTTTTGTATATCTAGTACAATATATAAACTGCATAAAGAAAAATAACTGAAGACTAAATGAGAACAAGTTATGCTTTCTTTCTTACATTATGCCACCAGCATGAATTCTAGTTTTAAAATGTTTACTTTACTCAGAAAGTGCTTTTCACTTGTAGCTTTTTCATAGGATAAAAATTGATTCATTATCTAAGTACTGCTTTAATCACTGAAGTAGTACTCCTTGGTTCTCAGAATTTTCTGCCAACGTGTTAAGATGATATGGCGCCCAGAGAAATGACAATTTATGGATGAAAACCTGGAAGTTGCTTTAGAGCTAGATAATCAACAATTCTAAAAACATACAATCTCTGTATTATGTCATAACAATATGGGAAAATATTTAGAAAGAAGACAATCCCACTTTTGGGGCAGCTCAGATTGAAATAATTCAAAACATAAGCAGAAGGGAATGAAACTTTAAACTGATATTAATATTCACATGTCAATGCCACACAGAATAGTTTAAGAAGCCTTAGCAAAAACAGCAAACTGAATATAATATATGGTAGAAGATTACTATATAACAGCAGCCTGAGAACTCTCCTGTCCCATCATCTGACAGCAGAGAAGTCCACTCCAGTGCTATAGAGTGTGAAAACTGTCAGAAGGTATTGATACAAAGACATAGTATTTTATGCCAGAAATGTTACCGTTCTTTATTAAAAACAAGAACACCCTGGTTGTCCACATTTTAATAACTAATTTTAAAAGTTCTGTCTGCATACATAATACTTGTGTGTAATAATTCATAAAATGCAAAGTATCTTCATAACACAGAACTATGAGAGTATCAAAGTTTCTCTAAGACTTTCCGATGCAAAGTGGTGAAGTTTTGCATTTCAGCAAGAGAAAAAAAACTTTTCATTTCACAACTAGGCTGAAAGATCTGCCAGTAAAACAACGTATAATAAAAATCAGCTAAATATCAAAACTGATAATGAATACCAATGACAACGTATGTTCTTACCTAAGTCATAATCGAGTATGGTTTGTAAAACACCTAATTTAATTTATCTATAAAAAGGCAATCAGTGTTTTACAGGATCTTCTAACATCCCAATGGATGTCACCCAACTCAAAAGAAAAATGATGACAAGCCACAAGCACTAATGTTGATGTTTTCTCTCTAACAAGGAACAGCATTTATGTTATTTCTAGTTGAGGTGGTTGAGTAAGGCTAATCTCTATCTTAAAAATGTATGCTAATGCAGGTAAAGAGTGCAAAATGAAGCTTTAGGTTATGATTTTAACAAAGTTTGGGCCTGCCTATACTTACCTAGAACACAGTTTTCACATGGCTTCCTAATATATGTAAAGGCCTTGGCGGGGTGGAGGTGAGGGGAGGAAGCAATCTAGTTTTGTTGGCTCAGCAATGCAGTCACAGCATGTAATGACTAAGATGCAACTACTGTGGGTTTGAATGCCCTCCAGCTGGGAAATGTCTAAAATGCAGGTCTCTCCCACTTACTTGGTGAATGGTCCAACTACTAGGTTTTAAATAAAAGATGTGCACCACCACATCTTCTAGGCAGTGTTTCTGAATGAAAATAGCTATGATTACTTTGTTTTGTGTTGAACTCTATTGTAAGTATGCATTACAAGCTAGGTACTATTTCATCTAGTTTTTAGACACCAACAAATTTAAGCTGAAGGAAGGCAAGGTAGCTGTTCGAGTGGGTCAACTCCATGCATATAGAAAAAGCAGGTGCGAAGGGAAATATAGGAGATAAAAAAAAGATATTAAGTATGTTTAGGCAACTGCAGGTTAGGTAACCATTAAGCAGGGTTTCCAACTCTGGAGTAGGACATCTAAACCAGGACTAAAGGGGACCTTAGTAACAGCAAAAGGACTTGGCCTTCAGGTGTGGCTGTGATGTCCCCTGGTGGTCATGTGACTACTGCCCCACTCCAGTTCCTTGGACTACCCCACTTTTCACTTTTCCTGCCATGTCTTGATGTTTCTTATAGTGTATAGGGAGGCTGCCCCCTGGGTCCCAAAGTGAGCCCCAGTTCCTCAGCCAACTTATTTTCCACATGCTCAGCCAGCCCCCCGTCTTGCCCCAGGGCACTAAACTGTGGCCCTATCAGTGTGTCAGGGCACCAATTGCCTTATGGGCTGTATTTGTGGCCTCTCTCCTTCCCTATAGCTACACCCATGTCCAGGGCCAGATAAAGCTTTTAGTGGGCCCTAGACAAACAAACTCATGGACCCCCAGCTGAAGATGAAATTTTTGTATTACTTTTTTTCACTCATTAATTATAATAGAGGCTTGATGCCTACCTGGCTGGACTCATTTGAGTCCAGTCTTTTCTCCCGCCCAGGCGGGGGGTTGGACTTGAAGATCTACAAGGTCCCTTCTGACCTGACTTCTATGATTCTATGAATAGATAAAATAAGCACAACTGGGCCCCTTCTTCATTTAGGGCCCTAGGCATGTGCCTAGTTTGCCTATGCATCAATCTGGCGCTGTCCATGCCTCACAGATGTTACTCTCAATACCTGCACCAGCCTGTACAGCAATGCTCTCCAACCTTTTAAGTAGGATATCACCTTTGGCATTTCAAAGCAACCCAAGATCTACTATGTGCTGCCGCCAACCCCCACCCACCCTGCCCAGCAGCTGAGTCTGTGGGGAGGGAAGTACAGAGCAGATCGAGGCAGAGGGAGAAAAAAAATATTTGGGGTGCATCTCCCCAGCAGGTAAGTCCTCCCTGGCCAGGGCCCCACTCAAATTACCTCTGCTTCTGCCTTTGCGGCACTGTCCCTCAGTGCTGGGGCCTCAATTTAGCCCCCACTCCTTTCCTCCACCACAGACTGACCTGCTGGGCTGCGGCACACATGTGCATGCACACGTGTACTCAGCACCCCACCCCAGCCTTGGATAGACTCCAAGAGGCTCCAGGATCTACCGGTGGATCGAGATCCACTAGTTGATGATCACAGCTGTACAGGCCAAAGCTCTCTTTGCTTTGGTCCACCAGTTGCTCTAATTGTGGACTCCTAAGCTTAGGCCCACTCAATCTGCTCCTCTAGGCTCTGGCCTGCCCCCTCTCACTCTCGGGGTGCAGACTCTGGCCCTGTCAGCTCTGGCCTTCCCAATTTCACTCACACTCTCCCTCCCCACTTCATGGGGCTTGAAATGCTGAGTGCCTCAGGCCCCCTGGTATGTGGCCTTCAATCCTCCCCTGCAGCCACAATCCAGCATCAAGCTTAAATGCAACACAAACATCAATACCAGCACCCACTTCCCATCTAAAAGTTTCCCTCAGCATAGGTCAAGGTCACTTTGTAAGCCATACTTCCCTTTGCTCTCATCTCCCAGCTCTCTTGAGGGTCTTGGCTGCCCAGCTGTCTCCTGCAGCCCCTTTCCCAGGGCTACTTTCCCCTGAACCATGTAGGGCCAGATTGTTTGCCTTGCTTCAGCAGCACTGCACTTATGTTCATAGATTTTAAGGGGCTGGAAGGGACCTTGCAAGATCATCAGGTCCAGCCCCACTGCACTAGGCAGAAAAGACAACTGGATGCAGGTGACTCCAGCAAGGTGACTGTCCAGTCTCCTCCTGAAGATTTCCAGGGTAGGCGATTGCACCACCTCTGGAGGGAGCTTATTGCACAGTCTGGACACCCTGACTGTGAAGAAGTGTTTCATAGAGTTGAGCCTGAAGCAGTCTTCCTGGAGCGTGTGCCCCAAAGCACTGCCCCTTCCGGTTAGGTGTCTCCCTAGCCCTACACAGGCATTTTCCCCTTTTGCTTAATGGTCAGCCTGTGTTTCTCTGCCGCACCTTTACCAGGACAAGAAGACTGTGGGCTGGGCCTGGCTGTTAAGGACTGGCAGGTGGGGTCTGCTGCCTACGGCTTCAGGGGACTGGCTGCCCTGATTGCCTCACTCAGCCCAGCTGGGACCACGGTGCTGCTCTGGGCATACTGTGGGTGACTCTTGTTCTGGGGATGACTTGCCCTGATCTCTTGATCAGAACTAACTGGGTCAGGATGGGCTTAAGCCAAAGCTGTCCTCTTCCTTGGCTGTGATATCATGGATTCTTGGTTACCAAACAAAACTCTTCTTAAGGAAATCCAGTTCCCATTCCCACATTCATATCCTTCTATCTACACTCTTTTCTCTCCCCAATCAATTTTTCCTGCTATTTTCCTCTGCTTTGGGAAATAAAGCACCAGTTATAGATAAGAATAGTTGAGACTGATTAATGGTCCCTCAGTTCACCCCACTAACGAATTTGTTCATGTTGACCTCTCATAATAAGGTTCAAACATACAGCTACTTGTATTGAGTACAGTGCCTTTTGAGTTAGAAAAATCATTATCTATGATGTTTAGATTTTATTGATGCTTTACTACTTACTTCATGAAGGTTATCTGCCATTTGTAGTGATACCATAAAGTTCAGCCAGTGGCTATAGCACTGTGCAGAGGTATAACCAATTAAACAGAAATTTTAGCTTATTATTTACATTACTATGACATATTAAGAAGTCAAAATAAGTAAAACTCCCAAACACATATGTCACCTACCTCATCTTGCTTTAAGTCATAGCATTCTGTTTTCTATCCCTCATTAACAAAGCTATTAACTATAATTTACTATACACCCACACACACATCCACACACAGGGTAAGCACTTAAGTATAAGTATGTAATAAATATTAGTTTTTACCATGCATATATTAGTTATTACTTATATATATATATTAAGTGTAGTGGCCTAAGAGTGCAAGCAAGATTGTATTACAATAAATTTTGGTTAGGACTGTACTTAGTAGTCACAAATCAGTTATATATTTTTGAGCGCGTTTCATTTCCATCAATTTTTCCATAGATATACTACATTATATAATGCCAGGCTTTAAGCTAAAATGTGCATACATTTGCTTGTCTTTTTATGCTCTTCAAAAGGTTAAGTGAAAAACAACCATGGTATTGACCTTTCATAAAAATACATGATATTTTTCAAGATTACCTTTTTATTTTAATTCCTATCTGAAGTAATTGCAAAGAAAACTGAAACAAATCAGCTTCAAAGATCAATGGTAACACAGCATTACCCATTTCTACTTTCTGCACATATTTACAATAGGCATGTTATTTAATATTAAAATTTTGATCATCTTAAAAGAGCACTACATCTGCTGTCAGTTCCTTGAATTTTTAAAAGGATAATGTCTACTTTGACAGGTTCTCTTCTCTCACCCCCATCCTTCCTCCCTGTTTTAGAAACGTGAATAGAAGTTTATTTCTTTACAAAATGTGGCCTGTTTTACATTTTGCCAACACTAATCCATTTCTTCTACTTCAGATATGGGGTACAAGCCTGCAAATACTTAATGCTGAGTGTTCCACTTACTACTAATGGGACACATGGCTACTGTGGGCTTTTTGCAGTTAATCTGTGTGCAGTGAAGAAAAACCTTTACATAAAAAATGCCCGGAATACTCAATGAGGAAACACAGAGGAAGCACAACACATATAATATAAAAATTTAGGTTTTGAACTAGTAAATGTCTGCTGCAATACAATATTTTCCAAACATTAAATCCCTTAGTGACCCTGAAGTAAGTTAGCATTTTAGAAATGTAAGCTATAGAAAAAACTACATGTTGTAGCTTAAACAATTCTCATCTGCAGGTTGCAAAGGGGTTCACTAACAAGACCATCAAAGCCTTGACATAACCTCCTGAACTTTCCATTTTGCTATAGCATAACAAAAGAAATTCCTGGAGTATAATAGCAAGATATCAAAACAGGTAGCTTATAAAAAAGGATTTTATCATCACACATTGACCTAAAGTGTTAACGCCAGAAATGTGGATGAATTTTCTGAGGAGCTTCATCAGCTCTACTTGGGGGAAATTTAGAACAGTGAATCCAAGCTCAAATACAAGGCTTTCATCACAATGGGACACTATTTCCAGAGAAAGGAGGCTCCTGTTATGACTGAAGAGATATATTTGTAGAGTTGTTCTGAGACAACCAAGAAGTATGATATTGATGAGTTAAACTGGATGAACACCAATTTATGGAGGTATTTGATCTTTATACTTTATACTTGATTATTCTTGGTCTTTGTGAATAAAATGAGAAAACTCCCTAAGTGAATAGATTCTGTTTTTTCTCTATAACTAGAAACCACAGTATTGCTTCCTTTTAGTTGCTTATTGCTAAAACTATAACATTATCACATTTAATATAACTAAACCAATGGTTACTTACTTTGGGGCAATGACAACAGTGTTTCCCTTAGGTAAAGAGAAATCAGCACACTCTCTTCCTACAATTGTAGCACTGTATATCAAAGGTTTAAAACTCGGATTTTTCAGACGCACCTATCACAACAAAACAAAGTGGTTTTATATATGTTTTGCTTCGTTATTTTTTAGAATGAAAAATACACTACCCATAAGTAGTCTGCTTTGGTTAGTTAAGAGTATCAATACCTGTTTAACAAGAGTAGCATGGAGTGTACCAGTAAACTCAATAGTCCTCTTGGGTAAATATTGAGGTAGTATTTCATACAAATAGACACAGAGCATAAGCATCATGATTGGATTTGGATCACAGATGTCAGTGGCCTAATTTAAAAACAGAAAAAGAAACAATAAATATGAATTCTAAACTTGCATGTACAATTGAAGGTTATTTATTAAGATGCATAATTTAAAATGTAAAATAGCTCTTTAAGGTGTAAACCTGTTTTCAACTTAGCCTTTTAACATCTGAATGAGGTACACAACTGAAATTTAAAAAATCATTGGCATTTAGGAAACTAATTCACAAAAATGAGTATCTAGTAAAAAGAAACATCATTTAAAGAATGAAATGGAAGATATTGTTCTATACCTTTCTTCCACATTTTTGAAAAACAATTACATTTTAATGAAACAGAATATAACATAAACAGCAAATCAATCTTACTGATTAAGAAATATATCTGTCCATGTTTTTTTAGAAAGATAAGCATATAGTTATATAGCTTGTAAATATTTGTAACTAAATATGTAACACTTACCAAAGCTACTTCTAAATATAGCCCATCACCAGAGCACTTCTACATGACATTTATCATGTAATGAAGACAAAATATTATGGCACTGACTCCCCACAAAGACATGCCACTAAAACAGAGGTTGGCAATGTACAGCCCTTGGGCTAGACCTGGAGCTTTTCTAACCAGTCTATCAAGCTCCAGGACCCGACAGACTGAGAGGAGTGTCCCAAAGCACACTGGGCCTTGGGGTATGCAGAAGAGCTACAGTGGGAGCCACAGCCAGCCATCCCATTCTGTACCATACCCCTGAAGCAGCTGCAAGGACTGGGACAGAGGCAATGGCAGATGCCTGGCCAGCTTAGTGCACAGTGCAGGATGGCTTAGGGACATGTGGAATAGTTACATGTCCCTAAGCCAGAGCAGGACGAAATCAAAGCAGGCCAGGTGGTCCATTCTGCACTGTGTTCCAGGCTACCACTTCTGTCCCAGTCCTTGCCACTACAGCTGCTGCCCAGCAGAGCATGCACTGGGACACGCAAAGAAGCCAGGTGGTTCTCTCTGCACCCTGCACTGAGCAGCAACTGCAGCAGCTAGGAACACAACAAAGCCACCAACATGTTCTTGATCAGTTTAGTGTATGGTGCAAAACAGACCATATGGCTGTTGCTGCAAGTGCCGTAGCAGTCCCTCTGTGTGTCTCAAAGTGTGCTGCACTGGGCAGCAGCCAGGACAGGGACCGAACTACCAGCATGTCCCCAAGGAGCCCAGCATGGACTGCACATCTGTGACTGCAACTGTTGTTATGGCTCCTCCATGTGTCCCAAGGAGTACTACACTGGGCAATAGTAATGTGTCCCTGAACAGCCCAGCACAGACAACGCAGCTGTGGCTGCAGCTGCTGTCACGTTTCCCACATTTTGGAATGTTCCTCACAGTCTGCTAGTCCTAGATCTTGGTGTGCCACATCCCAGGAAGAAGTTGCAGCAGTGGATATTTCCAGCATGTCCTCAACCAGACAAACTTCTGGAGCATCCAAGAAATGAGCTGCATTGTACTGCATTTGTGCAACTGGAGCAGGTAGGAACACTTTGCAGGCAGGAACCTTCTGTTAGGTGTAGGGGAGGTGGAACTTGCTTGCAATGTAGTGTGAGAGGAAAAGCTACCTGTCCCTTTACTCCCCTTGGTGTGCAGGACTGTCTGTCCCTAAGGTTTGTTGGGGACAGGATTGCTTTAGTGGGTGTTCCACATGTCATTCCCACTGCTTTCCCAGAAAACCTAAAAGGTTGTCGTGAGTTCCTAAAATTCACTCAGAAAGCAGTGCCTCTAATTAGTATAGCATTAGTGCCAGCCAGGCAGTCCAGTAATCTCTGTACACATGCTCTCCTGAAAGAGCCACCCATTTCCATGTCATTGTTGAAAAGAAAAATTCATAGTGGGTGAATCTAAATGTGGAATTCTGGTGCCTGAAAACTGAGGAACTTATTGCTCCACAGTTAATTCCTCCCGGGAGCACCATTTGAACATGCGCCTGGGAGCTATTAACACTGAAGCAATAAGCACCACAATTTATTCAAGTGCAGCATGTGGAGCCTGAGCAGAGCAGCCTCAGCTGGTAAGAGGCTCTGAGGATCTGCCTGCCAACCTGCAGCTGTTCACGCCAGCTCCATGTGTTGTGCAGGGGCTGACTGGGGAATGAGGGAGCTTCAGTGATCCTGGCTGGCAGGCTGCCCCCACACTGAAACACCCTTGTGCCTGAGCCAGCAGGGCAGCATCTACACGAGTGCTGCCATGGAGCTTTTTACTTCGCAGAAAGATAGAAAGATTTGTAGATAGTTTACTTTAGCCTAATAGGGGCATACACGGAGATGCCAAAATATTTATTTCACAGCTAATTAGTCAACTGTACAGGAAACATCTCATATAGATACACCTAGCGAGTATCAAGTGTTCAGTGAGTAGTGGACATATGATTACTTCTTTGTGCAAAGCAAAGACAAAGCAGCATGCCTTATTTGCCAAGCCACTGTTTCATTGTTCAAGAAATATAATATCATCTGTTATTCTGATACATCTATCTATAGATAGATAGATAGAAGATAATATATATATTTAGATTTGGGGAGGGAGAGAGAGAGGTGGGGGGGGGGAGCTGCTCAGTAGGGCAACCTAGGAGTGACAAAGTAGAAGCTCTGAGAAATGGTTTGTCTAGACAGCAGAATATTTTTAGAAGATACTCTAAGCAAACCCTAGCAATTGTTCAAGCTAGTTATCACATGGCTAAATTGCTTGCTGATGGTGGGAGGCTTTTTACAGATGGAGAATTCACAAAAGAGTATATGATGAAAGTGATTAAGGAGGTATGTCCTAAAAAAAAAACTTGATAAATGATGCATCTTTCAGCTTATACTATGAGGAGACAAACTGAAGATATGAGGACAGATTTGCTTTGCACGCTGAAAGAAAAGGCCAAAATGTTCCAAAATTTTTCAGTGGCACTTGATGAGTAATGATGTGTCAGATACAGCCCAACTGCTCATACTGGCATGAGAAATAGGCTCAAAGCTTAAGGTTACTCAGAAACTTGGAGCACTTCAGAGTAAGAAGGGGACAACCAGAGGAGAAGACTTATTTTCAATGTGTGCTAAACAATTAATAAATTTCAGCTGGGCTGGAAGAAAGCAAAAAATGCAACAAAGGTGTATGAAACAATAGGATGCAAGGCTGGTGTAATAGGGGACATCGACACCAAAATGCAAATACTGAATGCTGAGCCTTTGAAGCAGCTTCACTGCCTCATACACCAACAGCTGCCATGCAGAAAAGTAATACAGTGAAACTCAGGCACAGGTGTGGTTGTTTCAAGAGTGAATTTCATCTGGGTTAGGGCTTGAACCATCACCACTATCAATAGCTCCTTGCCGATGTTAAAACACAACATGGAGATATCTTGTATCACACAGAATTGAGTTAGCTCATTTGGGGTAAAATTCTCAACTGTTTCTTCCAGCTGCTAAGTAAGATGGATATATTTCTAACAAAAGTGGGAAAGCGAAAAGCTGAACTGTCTGATCCTGCATGCATTTGGGGGGTCAGCCCCAGGCTCCAGGTGGCAGTTTCAGGTGGTGGAGGGGCTCGCTGGGACACAAGGGTGCTACAGCATTGGGCTAGCCATCAGGCAGCCCCTGCACTGTAGCACCTTTGTGCTCCCACCAGCTTGGGTCACTGTTTACACCTTGTAGCACCTTGCATTTGTCAGCACTGAACTTCATCCTGTCAGTTCCAGCCCAGCTTTCCAATCTATTTCCAACATATACCTCCTGCTCCTAATAATTCATTGGAAGGTTGTGCTTTACTGTTAACAAGCATTGTAATTGCCCCTATACCCCCTTCAAAATTTTCTTCTTCTGCAACTGTATCCTTTGCCTGAAAAATGTCTATTTGTTGTTCATGTGACAGGCTGGCTGGCAATGATTTGGCCCAGGGGTTTTGAAGAGGTAAAAGATGACTGGAGGACTTGGGATTCCCTTTCCGCACCAATCAGGCCCCAGAGACTCACCCCCCACCCCTATGTCCCCTGATTGGCCCCTTGGGTCACCTGGAGGGGGATAAAAGGGGCAGCATGGGCTGACTCAGGAGAGAGACCAGTGAGGGACAACAAGGAAGGAGCTTCACAGAGCTGGCCCAGCGGGGCAGGAGCAGTGCCCCAGAAGAGCCTGAAAGAGCAGGACCTGCAGGCAGCAGTGGGACCCTCAGCAGCGCGGCGTGCAGCCGGCAGGAGAGGCTCCCCACTGGGCTCTAGGATCCCCTATGAGAGGTTGCAGCCAGCAGGAGAGGCTCCCCTGCTCCAGGAAGGCTCTGAGCAGTGACCTGAGAGGTTCCCAGCTCTGCTTCCAGCTCCTCTAATCAGAGGCCAGACAGCTCAATGTGAGGCTGGGGCTCCGGGAAGGTCAAGACCCCTAGCAAGCTGGAGCAGTGCCATCAGTGGTGGCTGTATAGTAACATTCCTTCTCCCCATGTGGGAAACATGGGTTCAAGTCCCAGCTGAAATAACTTGGGGTAAATAAATAACTAAATAAATAACTTGGCATAAATAAGCTAACAAGAAGCAAATCTTGCAGTGGAAAGGGGCCATTGTGCTTTCTCCCCCTCCAGGTACGAAGGCCCTATATTTCCTTGTCATTTGACATTTTGTGCCTTTTTATATTTCACCAACCCATATCGTTTGTTCTGCTGTTTGTGTTTTATATTTTGTTAACCCTGTTCTTTGTCAATGATTGTAAGTGTCTAACCTTTGTTGAATCCTGTCCCCTTGGGCCATTGTAGTATCCACTATACCCTCTGATTTATGCCTATGTTCCCAGTATTAAAAGGTATATGGTTAAGTCCCCATTGGTGGTCTGGCTCTGCTCTATAGGGGGAGGAGAGTCCCTACGGCTCCCACAGCACTTGTGCACCTGCTTTGATCCCTTCAATTGGAGTGGGGGTACCTCTTGGAGTACAGCCCGGGTTACATTCACCTTTATCGATTTCACTAGCATACTCTTTCCATCATTCTATAGTTGCATTATCTGTCATTTTACATAT